TCTTTATGTTGAGTATGTAGCCTCCACTTCATCATAGTTGCTATTGTCTTCTATGCTTATCTGTCTGGCCCTGGAGGATGCTGACTTTGAATTCACATCTCTTGTTTTAGGGCAATTATTTTATCTTCAATATCAAAATATATTTACTTTTAGATTCTTTAACTTGATAAAACATAGCAAGCAATTACAGAATATTTAAAATAGCAGTTTTTCCACATGACCATAATAACAATACAAGGAACAATAAATGCAGCCTTTGTTGAGAGTTTAAAAATGCCAGCACTCTGCAATGTGCTTTGCTTAAGCAAATCTTTAATAAAAGATCTTTAGGGGGCTTCCCTGGTGGCGCAGTGCTTGAGAGTCCGCCTGCCGATGCAGGAGACGCGGGTTCGTGCCCCGTTTCGGGAGGATCCCACATGCCGCGGAGCGGCTGGGCCCGGGGGGCCTGGGCCGCTGAGCCTGCACGTCCGGAGCCTGTGCTCCGCAAATGGGAGAGGCCACAACAGTGAGAGGCCCGCATAACGCAAGAAAAAAAAAAAAAAAGATCTTTAGGGCTTCCCTGGTGGCGCAGTGCTTGAGAGTCCGCCTGCCGATGCAGGAGACGCGGGTTCGTGCCCCGTTTCGGGAGGATCCCACATGCCGCGGAGCGGCTGGGCCCGGGGGGCCTGGGCCGCTGAGCCTGCACGTCCGGAGCCTGTGCTCCGCAACAGGAGAGGCCACAGCAGTGAGAGGCCTGTGTACCGCAAAAGAAAAAAATAATAATAATAAATAATAAATAAATAAATAAAAGATCTTTACAAGTTCCATCCTTTAAAATTAATAACACTATAAGGATAAGGTTTGATTTTATAAGAAATTAGAATTTTTTGAAATTAGACCTTTGTTGCTCTATAGAATCTCATCAAATCTGGGTATTCCTTTTATGAAGTGTCTATTACATTTCACAGCTATCAAGGTTTTTTCTTTGTTTTTTGTTTATTTTCTTTCTCAAGTAAGCTATTCTCCTACTCCTTATTTCTTTAGACTTGTTCTCTCTCATTTCTAAGGAGAAGTCAAATTAAGCCATTTACATAAAAGAGGCTAGAGTCATTTCAAAAACTTTTTTGTTAAAAGAAATAGTGAATTTTATTTTTCTCTATCCTCTTTCACAATAAAACAGGCAACAATTATAATGCCTTTTACTTTACCAAGAAATTCAATAGACTGAAATTGCACATATGTATACATTTTTACTGCTCATTTTTTTCTGTCTTGATAAAAGCTAAAGAGAGGAATCCTACAAGTAAGTCAGCACAAATTTTCTTTCTTCTAAATTGTAATCATCATCTGTAACTGTAATTCCTTAGTTTTCTATAAGGGACACAAAGGCAGAAAATTAATTATTAAGAGAACAAAGTCATAACAACTACAAAACAAAACAATGATACAGAAATATTATCTAAACATCACTCTGGCAACTGACATAAGAGAAATTACTGTATTAGGTAGTGCGATTCACATCCAGACTGCTCCTTCATAGGAGCACACCCATCTCATAAATCAGGGCTTCCCTGGTGGCGCAGTGTTTGAGAGTCCGCCTGCCGATGCAGGGGACACGGGTCCGTGCCCTGGTCCGGGAAGATCCCACATGCCGCGAAGCGGCTGGGCCCGTGAGCCATGGCTGCTGAGCCTGCGCGTCCGGAGCCTGTGCTCTGCAACGGGAGAGGCCACAACAGTGAGAGGCCCGCATACCGCAAAAATAAAAATAAAAAAAATAAGGAATATCAGTAGTTGACAGTTCACACCTGTACCCTTCGCTAAGCATTGCCCTTAGGCAATCTAAGAGGAACTAACTCTCCCAAGGTTTTTGCCTCCATCAAGAGGGCAATCGTTGGCCTATGATTGGCTAATATAAGGATACAAACACACTATCTTTGCCTCAATTTGGCAAAATCATTCTCAGTAGGACTGGCAAAGGACTCATTTTAGTGTTGACAAATAAAATACAGCATGCCCAGTTGAATCTGAATTACAGGTAAATAACAAATATGCTTTTAACATATTTCTCAGGGAAATACTTGGGAATTACTTCTACTTAATACTGTTCACTGTTTATCTGAAATTCAAATTCAACTGAGAGTCCTAGTTTGTTTGTTTGTTTGGTTAAATGTAGCATTGTATCTAAGTTGCATCCACACTGTAGGTAAGCATAGCCCTCTGCCAGTTCTGCCTTCCTCACTTCCTTATAGGTGAGTATCCCAAGAGCATGCCAGCAAACATTTTGCACTTTTCTATCCCAGAGCGTATTTCAAAGGAACTCAGTGTAAGACAGGAATATTTCCCAATACTGCTCAAATGAAGACTTTTTATACATTTATTTTGAACTAACATCTGCTCTTATGCTTCCATTTTAATAGCATTAATTAGCCTTAAGCTAATTAGCCCATAAGCTATAATTCAAATACTGAGGCTCTAAGACTTACTCATAAAATGTTATTTCCTCTTTCTTAAAAATAAGCTAAGAATTAGACTAATAAAAACAATGCTGAATTTGGTTGTACATATATATATGTGTGTGTGTGTGTATATATATATGTGTATATATATATATATATATATATATATACACACATCTACCCCTAACACATGTGTATCACACCACGTTATCCAAGATCAGCTTTCTGACAAATTCACTCTCTAGAACAAAGTTCTGAAGTTATCAGTGTGAAAAAAGGATTTATTTACATAAACATTGTATCACAATTCCCTTGCATGTTTTACTCTTTTAGGTCAAATACAGAAAATATATTTCTTCTTGTTACCTACTTCAATCAATTGGTATTGCTTGTGATGCCACATGTAGTACACTTGAGAACATATCTGTTTTTAGTAGAACAATACCCAGGCAAACAATTAAAAATATCTGCAATAGGAGTACTGGATCTAGGAAAGGGGTTAAGTAAGAAACAATACATGTATTTATTTGCATTCCCTCTGCTTTTTAAAATTTATAGGCTGTTCTTCCTCTTTTAAAAACTCTAAAATTTCTCAATGATTTTAGGATTAAATATAAATCTTTTCCATGGACTACACATTTATGAGTAACTTATGTAATTTCTCTCCTTTCCTACCTCTCTAGCTCCACCTCATGCCATGTATCTCTTGGCCCTCTATGTCTAGCCATACCAGCCTTCTTAGAGGTCTTTTTATGCATCACAAAGTCTTTAAACCATGATTCCATCTGGGAATTTGCTGTCCCTATTGTTCTTCTTCTATCTAATTTTTATTTATTTTTTTGATCTCAACTAATATGTTCCTTCTCTTAAAAAGCTTCATCACATGAACTTGATTAGGTTAGGTCTCATAGCATCTCTAGGATTTCTCAGCACTGCGATCAGCCATTATGTTGTCTGCATTATATTCTAAGCTACAAAGGACAGGTTCCAAAGTACACGTATCTACTGAAAGCCTAAAGGAGTCTTTATTTTAGACCTCTACTCTGGGTTTCATTAACTCTGAGAAACACTATTTTCCAAGTTCATTTTTCAGATTTTCTAACCTGAGGCAAACTAGAAGCTACAAATAGATATAAAGTAGAAAGAATATTAGAATTAGGTACAGCAGTGAAAAAGAAAGTCAGTCAAAAAATGAATTAGAATGCAAACTCAAAAAGAACACACATCCTGATTTAATGAGGCTTTTTGGTAGTTGAATTTTGTTTTTTGTAAGTTTAATTGGAGAAAGTCATACTTGTTTATAATAAAGTTAGATATTATAACAAAAAACAAGGCAGTGACCTTTATATACAATATGTTTTGGTAGTAGTCAGATAAAATATTTTGTTAATAAACAAAATAAAAATCTAAAAAAAAAGAACATATAAGAAAACCTAGTAAAGCTTAACAGCATGGTTCTCTGAAATATTAATAAGTTAAGGTATATATACCAATAAGAAATGATTTGAGAAATTTTAGTCCAAGGGCCAATATGGCTCCAGAAACTCTTTAAGGATTCATTAAAATTTCAAGCATACAAAGTAGTTCATTTAATTGATTTTTATGCATGTTTTTACTGTTTATGCTAGTTCTGACTTTCCTTAACCTACACACCAAATATGCTATAATGAAAAAGGAAAAACTCAAATATATTTTGTTTCCTAAAGGTAAAAGAAATAAATTTATTAAGTATATATTAAGGTCCAGAAAACATTTTTGGTACTTACTACACCTGTCTTTATGAATAAATAGATAACTTAATACAAACCCATAATTCAAAATCTCTTATCATTTGTGGAACAAACTATGGTAGTCTAATAATTTAAGCTATTAAACAGTGCATACCTCTGTCTCTGCTGCAACTCCCAACTCCCAGCCCTGGTTTGCACTAGGAGACTTGGGTTGCCACTTGATCAATAGAGAATGATTATTAAAAGTGAATCAGAGAACAATGATTTCAAAACCCATAAGTCTTGATTTAAGACATTAGGAATTTGAACAATATGTCTCTTCTCCTTCCTAGCTAGACAACACAGGCTCCAAATTGAGGAGGTAAGCCTGAAACAGAATTTTGATGGTCCTGTAACAATTCAAGGCCTTTTTCAGTAATCACAAAAACGAATAATCTTTGCTTGGAACAAGATCCCTTTTCTTTCACTGGGAGAGTAAGTGAAATTTCTACACATATCCCACAGAGGTGATAGTCACCCGAAGCAAAGGACATAGGAATTGCTAACTGAGAGGATGACATAAATCATTAAACATCAAACCAAGAACATTCAGCCAAGATGCTGAACAAAATCATCAGCAGGTTATGTTGTGAATGCACATATTTTCTCTCAGACCAGATAAGGGGAGAATGCTACAGACCTGAACCACTGCTTTCATGTGTAATATCCTAATCAAATCACCCTAATACATCTAGTTGTTTGCTTTCAGCAAATTCCTCACTGGTCCATAAAATAGGCTTTCTCTCTTTTGCCTTGAACAAAAAACAATTCTCAAAATGCATGACATAGAGGGACTTCCCTGGTGGTCCAGTGGTTAAGACTCTGCACTCCCAATGAAGGGGGCCTGGGTTCGATCCCTGGTCAGGGAACTAGATCTCGCAGGCCACAAGACCCAGGGCAGCCAAAAAAAAAAAAAAAGGCACTCTATCCTTTGGGCTTCCCTGGTGGCACAGTGGTTGAGAGTCTGCCTGCCAATGCAGGGGACACGGGTTCGTGTCCTGGTCCAGGAAGATCCCACATGCCACAGAGTGGCTAGGCCCGTGAGCCATGCCACTGTGCCTGTGTGTCCGGAGCCTGTGCTCCGCAACGGGAGAGGCCACAACAGTGAGAGGCCCGCGTACCGGG